TAAATTAAATATAAATAATAATAAAGGAAGAATGAATAAAATTATAAAGAAAATAATTAATTAAAAATATTAATATTTTAAATTAATAATTATGATACACATGGTGATTATCTGAGTAATAATATGCTAAATCTAGATGTATTAAATATATAATGATCATCTGTATATCCAGAGTAATAGTGCAGACATTTCTTAAGGACAGGGTAGCTATCTCTATGTCAAATATCATGACATCACGTCATTTTGATATAGATGTATATAGTGATATTGCCATATATAATAATATATGTGTGTAAGGTGTAACAGATAATTAAATTTTTTTCATCTCATGCAATGGCAATAGATGAAGGAAATTCAAGAAAAAGATATAGACTTTTTCAAGAAAATAATAAAGAATTTGGTTTAGAAGCTAAAGAAGATAGTAGAACAATAATAATGACAATTGTTACTACAACAGATACTATAATAACAGATACTTCCAACTCACAAATTTCAATAACTACACTTCCAGCAAGTTTCAATAATAATGCTCTGAGAAATAAACTCAAATTCTGGTAATTTTCTGAAATATAGGATTACTTTATTAAAGGAATCGAAAAAAATAATGAACATTATGAGGCTACTTGTAGTTATTGCAAAAAAAAATGGACATGGGAAAAACTAGCATAATTAGAAGCACATCTAGCAAATGAATGTGTCAGTTGTCCAAATGATATATTACAATATTGGTGAGAAAAAGTAGCTGAAAGAAATCTAAATTATATTTGAAAGTTAAAGACCTACATTTTATCAAACTCAGTATCACAAATATCAATAATATCTCATTACATATCAGATCATCCATTGTCAAAGACTATTATTAATCATCTTGATCAAAAAATAATTAAAGCTTGGATAATGGCAGGAATTCCTTTTGATATTATTGACAATCTATTCATTTGAGATATGTTTAAAGAATTTAATCCAGCATATAATCCATCTTCAAGAATAACTTTATCAGATCGGTTACTAGATGAAGAATTAGCATGAGTAAATAAAGAAATTGATAATAATTTAGATAAAGCAGATCATTTAACTTTAGGTTAGTATTATAAAAGTATATTTATTTAGCAAAATTTATATTAATTTATTTTTTTATCTATAATTTAATAATAAAGCTTTGGATGGTTGGATGATCCAATTAATGAAGTCAATTTATAATTATATTATTACAACAGATACCTGAAAAGAATATCTGGTCAGTCTGAAGAATTATTCTACTCAATCTCACATTGGTAAATTTCTAGCAAATAAAATATCAAATATTATTGAGAAATTTGATTCAGATAAATTCACAGCTGTCATAACAGATGCTGTCTCAAATTGTAATATTACATGTCAAAAAATACAAGAAATATATCCATATATTTGAAATGTTCGATGTGCAACATATGCTATCAATCTTATCATAGCTGATTTAGTTGGATTGGAAAATATCAAAAAATTAATTAATGATTGTGGAAAAATTAATTGTTTTTTCAAAACTTTTTATGCAAGTTATTTGTTACTTACTAAAGAATTTATCAATATGAAGATTAAAGGAGATGGACTAAAGATATGGGTGAAAAACGTTGGAGATCTTTATATTTGACTACTAATTTAATGCTTTATGCATATTTTGTATTTGACTGGATAAGTAAATTAATAAAAAAATTGATTATATATTACATATTATTAATAAAAATCAAATTTTATTATTAGATACTTTCTGAATACTATGAATCGATTACTAATCAAGAAGTCAGTAATTTGATCTCTAATGAAGACTTTTTTACTACCTGTTGATTTGTGCACTCAGTATGGCAACTTATCAAAGAAATTATTCATATATTAAAATCTAATAATGTAATATTAGCTGACTGTTTCATTTATTTGATCAAATTAGCCATATTAATTAATCATTTACCTGAAGTAAATAACTTCAAACTTCTAGCTATTCATGTTTTCAATCAGCATTATGAGGAATTTTTGCATCCACTTTATATTTTAGCATATTATATTCATCCAGAATATAGAGGTAAGAATTTTCATAATAATCTATATAATAAAGTTTGAAATAGACTATTTAATTTATTAATTTCTTAGGAAAGGATTTAAAAGATAATGGATTTCATAAAGCAGCTCTTACCTCTCTTGAGCTTTGGCAAAATCTTGAACATATTCAATCTGAAGATGAAGAATTAGTTGCATAATTGTGATGATTTGAAGTATGATTACCTCTATTTGATCTTTCCTATGTTGCTAATATAGATACTCTAAAGATTTGATGGAATTCCTTCAAGAATTAATCTTGACATTTGGCTAAATTGGCTAATTAGATATTTTCAATAAATCCAATACAAGTAAGTTGCGAAAGGAATTTTTTGATATTAAAATGGATTTTGGGAGAGTGACAAACAAGTTTAAGCCTAAATAAGTTAGAAGAAATAGCTAAAATTAGATCATATTATATGACTAATATTTGGCATGAGCTAAGTTTTTATGACAGAGAGTTGACAGAGATTGATCTTTAAGATGCATGTAATGTAGTATCAATTGATAATATTATAAGTTATAATGAAAATCAAATGAGGGTTAGCAAGAAAAATTCATTGGATAATGAAATATCCAATGATTCTATAACCTTACTAATTGAGGATATTATCAACTTGATAGTTCAAAGAAATTTAGAATCTTCCTCAGAAATAGTCAAAACAGTTCAAGCTATCTCTTCTGCTAATTTGGATTATAACCTATAGGATATACTAAATAGTTTTTTAAAACGTAAAAATCAAAATAATGGATCATAATAAATAATAAATAAAATGAACTAAATATCTAACAATTAGCTTATCACTATCTAAAAAATGGCCCATGACAAAAACTTTTATAAAAATCTGAGATGTGATTAATTTATCTGTGAATAATATATAAATAAAATATAATCATAGATATATCAATACGTCATATGTTACATCACCTATATTACATCAATATAGTCCGAGAGTAGTTCGTCTTCTTACATCATAGCCACAGTACCATAGGTAGTGACTATCCTGAAAAATATTTGCACTACTAATTCAGAGTGAAAATAATTTTCTTAGAAATATAATACAAAGCTAATCTGTTATACAGATAGTGCAAAATAAAGATCTAAGCTAAAAGAAAGATAACCTAATCAAAATTATTACAGAAGGATTATTATACATAATTATTGTATTAGATATATTTCTTGATATATCATCACAAGAGTCCAAAAGTAAAGACTTTTGTATAAAAGTTTATAATACAGTTTATTTGAAAAGTGATAAAATTCTGAGAATATCTGGAAATTTTCATGATAAAGAATAGTTTAGTAATATTGCAGTAACTTCAGCTAAAGATCAAAGTTATTATAGATTAGATGAAAATACTTAATATGGAAAGGTAAATATAACTTAAAGAATAATAAAATATAATTTCAAATTTAATAATTTTAAATAAATTAACCTTTGCATTTCCTTCCAAAAAATACTATTCTTTCTATGATTTTTTCAAGAATTGGCAAAGAATTTATATAACATTTTATAGTTTATTGATATGATATTATGCTAAATAAGCCAGAAAAGTATGGTTATTCTCATCTATATTATATCAAAGAGTATAATATAATTTCAATAGAATCTATAGATCAAGAGATATATATTGTGCTGAGATTTGACAAAAAAAATCTTTTTTTGTTAAATAAATATATATTTTGAAAAACTAATAGGCAAAGAATTTTA